AGCCCGCGCTTCTTCGACGAGTACGAATATAATATTGTAAATAGTGTAGCAGAAGGCAGCAGCAGCGAGTTTATCAACCAGCTAGCAACAGTTCCAAGTATTACTGTAGTTTCCTACCCTGCCGCGTCTCGTGTCCTCGCCAAAAGGGTAATTATATTCTGTTTTATTCTAATTACTTTCCATACCCTTCTGTCATGGATTAGCCATGTTTGTGGAGAGGAGTTGGACTGGGTTTCTCCTTTAACCTTAAATACCCACTTCATTAAATCGTTTAAGACATCATAAAATGTTTCAGATCAGGGTGCATTCTACCGCTTTATGGTATTGTATGTTTGTATGTTTTGTATGTTTTCACTTTTTGAATAGACTGTGGGAAGAAAAGCCACCAAGCAAGGATTAGTATCATATGCCTCAGACAACGATCTCATTCACAGCTTTATACGCTGTCTTTGTGGCGCGCCTCTCCTTCCTCCTGGCATGATAGCTAGCACTGTGGAGGCCTTGTTCAAGGAAGTTGAAGCAGCAGGCTGGGCTGATCTACTTTGCTCACTCTTTGCTTACTTCAGGAGGGAATGGGTGCCACGAGTACGAGAGCTATCTGTTTTCGATCATCCCGAGCGTACTAATAACTGCTCTGAGAGCGATAATAGATCAATGGCTAATGTTGTACCACAGGACTATCCAAACATCTGGACTCTGATAGGTAAGTTAATTTAAAAGTCACATTCTTTAGTAAGAGTTCCAAATACCAATTAATTAAACTTTTCTATATTTCCCTAGGTGCTTCCGTACAACTTGAGCACTTGTCCTGTAGTGACGATAATGCTGTGACAAAAGGTCTTGCTGTACAGGCTCCAACACAATGGAAAACAGTAGCAAACAACAAAAGAGTGCGTCGACTTACAAACCTGCATACTCATTACACCAATCCGATTTCTTCATGAAGTCTCCTGGGTGAACCAGGGAGCATTAAACCATGGCATGAAGAATGACAGAGACTCAGGCTCGGAATCAGAAAGTGACAGTGACTAAGAAATATTTGTTGACATTTGCCGATTTTAATAACTGTTGTCTGCTGTTTGGCAATGCTGTTCTTATTGTGTATAATTTTAATTTAATAAGGTATTATTTGAGATGAATGTGCTGTGTAAATTTGGAATCTTTTATATCTTTTTATTAGTTAACGTTTAGTACTTAACTTGTATTTGTGCTGTCAATTTGGCATCCTTTGTGCTTTTGAATAGTATTTGACATGAATTTTCATGAATTTCATTATGATGCAATGACTAAAGGTTGTTTAAATTTTGTGACCTTTCAATTTACTTCTCTTTTTCTTTTGCGGTTGGATCGTCTACCACACATGAGAACAAGGCTGGGTCAAGTTTCATTTTCCTCTCAGCAGATTTTAAAATAATTTGTATGGAATCATTCGGTGCTGGTTTTGTAAGGAAGACGAAGCATCTTGCTCTAATGGAGGTATCGATGTCAACCACAACCATACCTAATTTTGCACATTAGCAGGATTCAAATGCATTTACAGACTCCCCCATCTAAAAACTTTGAACTTTAACTTGTCTTGCTGCACTTGTAAGACTGTTTAGAGAAGCTGGCAAAGGGGGAAGCGAAGACCTTGTATGAACTGTGTTTAATAGAATGTTACGATTAGTACAGCATCGCTTACAAGTCTTTTCCTGTTGATATTTTGAACTTAAAATGAAATTTATGAAAAATAAAATACTTTTTAAATACGTTTTTATTTTTGGGAATCATCCAACCAATAAAACCTTCTTGAAGGGTTGTTTAAGTATATGTTGATCACAAATGACCTGGAATTCCCTCCTGTTTGGTGGGGAAAGCCTAAAAAATTCCACACAGTGTGGTACAGTCATGAGCCCTAATTTCGAACAAAATTGGCTGTTTTTCGTCTGTTTCGTGTACACTTGATTGAGTATGAAAAATCTGTTGAGATTCGAAGTACTCTAGGCCAGGACCGACCTACCTGTGTCGAAATTGTAGCTCAACATGGTCAGTTAGTGTAGCCCTTTAAGGGGAGGGTATACTGAAATCCTTAAAATCTAAACAAGAGACAATTTCAAAACCGTGGCTTAAAATAGTAGTAGTACTTAGTACTCACTTTAAAAAGTCATTGAAGCTATGACATGTCCAAATCCATCAAAAAACTTTGCGCATCCCTCTTAACTTTGGTTTGGATTTCAGGCCCCTGTTTAGTGAGAAACAGCATATAAAATACTTGTAATTTGCGCTTCTAGTGACGGACCTTTGAGGGCTCATAGAAAACGACACACCTGATTGAAAAATGCGAGAAGAATCGTTTTGGATGCTTTAAAGGTTGTAGATTCACCCTGTATGAACAAAAAAGTTAATGTGATATTGTAGAAATTTGAATTATGTCCACCTTTTTCGAGATCCGTCCCACTGTGCGCCGGAATGGCGCAATTACGCTATGAGGAAAAAAAGGTGGTGGCATAGTCTTCCACGAAATGCCACTGGGTCTTTTGAAACGATCGCGCCTAATGAGGTGATCACAAAATGATTGATCGCCGTGCAGTCAAAGGCAGAACCGGGCAGACTCGCCACGGGCACGGTGCGACACTGTGAAGCCACCTGACGTAAGGTCGACATGGAGCTGCATCTAAAGGTTGCCAACTCGCAGGACCGCCCTTGACCAGCTTAACTTCACTCCGCAGACAAAACTTTTTTTTTTTTGCAGGGGCGGATCAGGCTCACAGCCGCAG